AAGGCTTCATATATGTATTTTCTCACTTTCACTGATCAGGCCGGTACACTGGAATGTGAATTGTGCAAAGCACTGGTAGATGAACTGGACCAGGTCCTAGTCAATAACCGTTCTGAAGAGGTCATCAACTCCACTATTTACCAGCTATGTGGGGAGGTACCGGGTGCCTTAAAAAACTATGTAAGTCAGAAACTCTGCGACTTTTACCTTCTGTACGTGTTAAGACTGAAACCCATGTTTTCTTGATCATTTTTCCCTTGTCATTTATATTTTAGGAGAGGGATTCTGTAGTTGATGTGTTGATCATGACATTTGTATTCCTTCTAATCTGTTGCATTATTTGTGTATTTATTACAAAGATTATAACTCGTGACCTGCTTTATTACAGTGCATGACTTACGCTCCACGGATTGTCCAGCTACTGGAGACTGGATTTGACCCCTCGAGTGTCTGCACACTACTGCGAGCCTGTAGTGGTTTGTACCTGCCATTCTTTACAGCTCAATACACTTCTCTAAATCCTACTTTTATATATGATTCGAGATATTCATTTGAGATTGAAATTATTAGAAGAAAAGTATGTTATAAGAAATATTATAAGAACACATTTATATTATTTTACAAAAAAAAATGGTTCTTTCTATAAAAAGATGACGGTATTGCTAGTGCTGCAAGACATATCTTATTTGTAGTAGTACTAGACCATGCTCAAGTCCAATGCCTTTTCGGGGTGAGGCATTTGATTCAAGCAACAATGAAGTCCATTTGTGATTGAACTTGGACAATTATGGTCTATTTGATGTACCTTGCAGGAACATTTATTCCTGTCGAAGAAGAGGGTCTCGAACTCGAACCTTACGTAACTCATGAAAAAGAAAGCTTAACGGACTTTATTAAAGATGTCCTTCCTAACGAAGTCAGTAATACAGAGGTAAGTAATCTTTGTTATATACAACAGTTACATTGTTATATACAACAGTTACATTATTATATAAAACAGTTACATTGCTATATACAACAGTTACATTGTTATATACAACAGTTACATTGTTATATACAACAGTTACATTGTTAACATTGTTATATACAACAGTTACATTGTTATATATTACATTGTTATATACAACAGTTAAATTGCTATATATCATAGTAACATTGTTATATACAAAAGTTACATCGTTATATACAATTGTAAAATTGATGGCAACAATTAAGCTTGAGGTCTCATGTACTTAGTCAACATCAACCTTCAAGAGCAACATCAGCCTGATATACATATATATCACGTTATGCCTGGTGTATAACTTATATCT